GGGATACGTTCCAAATCATCCTGGCTGCTCTATCCTGACAGTGAGTTTTATATGTTTACCCTCCCACACCAGGAGACTTTCCAGGTCAGGGGTATTTTGTTGCAATTGATTTCAAGTGGGTAGAAAAACAAAACACTGGAATCATTAATTCTTGTTCGTGAAATAAAATAATTTCTTCAAGAACAAACTCTGTGTCATTTCCTAACTCTAGGGAAGAATCAGTTGAAGTTCCCAATGTAACTTTGTATTATTAAAGGTAATAACTACTGTCTAAAGTTTCACTGTGCTGAAAATTAATTTGTAATCTACTGGCATATACATTTCTATACAGTAAGCTTTAGAAAGTATTTTTAAAGATCTATAGATTTCTACTAGGAACTATTACTATTGCAATATTAGAGATATGACTTCTATTACCTTTCTGTTGGCAAAAATCCTATCATTACAATATTATTATACTTGTAAAAATTTTGCTGGAATAGTTTATTATTTGGAAAACTGATTACAAATTATACTGGAGAAAAGGGGGTTTATTAGTGGTTATAAGTAGGAGAGTTTACTACTATAATTTTACTAGGATATTTTTTCTTTAATGATCTCAAGTAGTATACATTTTGGCAGTGAGCAAAATGATCAGAGCAACTCAAGTTTTGCTATGTAATTTAATATAAATCTTGTTTACCAGAGAAAAATCAGTACCTTTGCCTTTACTGTCTCATTCCTATTTTTCCTTTGTCCCCTGTGAAGCATGTTTACTTGCACCTTTTCCATTCTTTTTTCACCGAGATTTCTGATCTTCTCCACTGAAATAACTCTCATTTGTCAGCTGAATTGTAGCAAACTTCCAGGCTTCAAAAACCCTGAATAAAATCTATATTGTAAGTCTTCTTTAACAGTAGGACCTGTTTTTACTAGTTTTAACTTATGAGAATAAATTTAATGGTATTAGACTCTTAGAGAGCATGACTGAGCTGTAAGAGAAATGTCTTTATGACCACTTAACAGGTGCTGCATTTTTCCAAGTTTTTCAGATCACAGGAAGGGGACCAGACTTGACAACAGAATCAAAGAAAGTAATTTTGCTCTTAATGTCTCTTTTTTTTTTTTTTTTTTTACATTTCATTTATCCTAAAGTGCCAAAATTTCAGATAAATAAGACAGTGGTGGGTAAGCAAAATGAGACATAAAATTGTGATACTGCTAGAGCAATTATAATAACAGAGATTGGAAACAGGTATGATGATTCCTTGAAAAATACCTTGTTCACCACAGTGTTAGAGGAACACATTGTGAGGCATCTGGAGTGATAGCTGGCTGAATTCAGTTTGTAGAAAAGGTGCTTCACTGATGTTCTTTTATAAGACAGTGCTGAGAGGTACACAATCAGTAATACTGTAAACTGACACAAGCTATAAAAGGTGATCCAGCTATTTTCTCACATACAGTGTTACATCGTTTCATTATGATGGACTGAAACTCCTAGTTTGTCCCAGTTTTAATCCCTGAATTATCTATTTTCCTATATTAAAAAAAAAAAAACACAAGAAAACAAACAAAAAACCAACAGGAAAACACAACCCCTTCCAAGACCCCTATATAATAATACTATTATTATTGGAAGGCAGTTGAAATCAAGTCTTCAATATCTTTAATTCTCAGAAATAAAAGGTCTTTAAATTACTGTATAGAAAGATCACTATGGAGATGCCTTTTGGGAGTAAGTGTCCAGCCACTGGCATTTTATGGATCCTGATCCACATAGTCAGTTCCTCAGAAGGGATTAAAAATGATCTTGTCCCGAGGCTGCCTTGGCGAATCTTTTGATGCTAAGATTTGGATAGGTCCTCAGGTAAACCCAAGATGCAAAGAACACAAGAAGAGATTATAAATCTGGTCTACAGATTCAGGAATGAAGAACTGGGAACAATTCAGTTCTGTATTCCTAAATAAAAGTTAAAAAAAAAAAAAAAGCCTTTGCTAAGATTAATATTGATGCCATCTTGCAGAATTTTCACTGAAACTTTTTTTTTTTCTGAAGAACAACTTTTGTAGTATTTTAAATAAGCAACAATTGGATAATTTAATAAATAATAACAATACCTTCACCAGTAAATGATTATTGGAGGAAAATAGTTTCATAAACAGAAGGTTCAAGCTAAAGACTTAACAGAGACTTCTAAATTCATGACTAACTGTAATTTTAGGGGAGCCAAAGTTTACCAGGAATCAGAGCAATTGCTCAGTAATGAAAAACTGCCAAAAGCAGTGGCATCACTTTGGACAAAGACCCTACCTGTTTTCTTTTACCTAGCCAGGATGTTTAAGAGGCATTGGTTTTCATCTAGTGATTGTTGGGCCCTGTCACATTTCCCACAATGGAAAAAAAAGCATTAATTTTGTTAGCCATAGGAGAAATATCCATCACCTCTACAAGAAACAGGAAGTTGAGTCTTGTTCCACAAAGTGGATTTGATCAGATTAAGTGATTTTTACTAGACCTTTACCTCAGATATTCTTCAGATTTCTATTTGATAAAATATGTGCTTAATTGCTTTGTTTATGACTCTTCCTAATCCTTTTCATTTTTAAACATAGCTCTTATGTCTGTGGGAGAGATTAGTTTGAACACTACCATCCACACCTCCACCAGCCAAGAGCATTTTTAGAAATAATGCTGACAAACTGAATTTGTATTCCATGACATCACTGAACTAACTCTTACTGAAGTTCTAGAGTACTGGTAGGACATGACTGAAAGAAACAGAAAGGAATCAAGATCCCACAACAGCTTGAACCATCTCTGGTTAGAAATGCCAGTCTAGAGCTGGCTGAAAAAGAAAAGCTGCGCAACAGATTACAGATTTGGAAAAAGAGGAAAACTCTGCTGATACAGACTTTATTTTTCCATTGGTCCTTTGTCCACAGAAATCACGACAGAGAGGGAGCAAGGCTGTACTAGAGGCCTTCATAGCTGTTTTCCTTTGTGCTTCAGACCATGAACAATGCAGGTAGCTAATATACCGCAGGTCAGCGGCATTTTGCTGAAAGCTATTTCATAGCCCCCCACCCCTGACAAAACCACAGCTTGCTTTACACTCCCCGTGACCTTTACCACTAGAGGGCTGCACTTTATGCGATATGCCCCCTGGAGCTCAATTATCACTGTTCCAAGCAGTGAAATAGGAGAAATAAGCATCTCCTGACATATGTCTGTAATAATTAATACTTTTATTAATATTAAATCAATAATCGTTGAGATGTTTATTATAGGCAGCTATTTGCATAGTTAAATAGAACTACCATTAGGAAACTAGCTAACAGGGTAGTTATACAGATTTAGCTAACCTCTTTTAAGATGATCCTGTCTATCAAAACTATTAAAAACCTACTTATAGGCACCAGAAAAGTTGAAAAAGATTATATTGGTGGGACGGGGAGATAACATATTGGGAAATTATTAAACAAAAGACATTCTGCAGAGACAAGGGGAGGCACTTGTGAAGCAGCTGTTAGTGAAAAACAGACAAACGCAGGACAGACATCTGCTGAGTCTGAGGAAATTAGGTTTCAAAATTAACACTTTTTCCTCTAAGCTAGATAGATACGCAAACAACACACATACCACTTATCACATTAAAACCCTTTTTTACTGTACACTTTAATATTCCTGTTTTTAGGATAAAACAATACTTTTGTTTGAAGAATGCAATCAAGTAAATGTTTTGTAAGCTAACTGGAGCTCCCAAAGGGAAGACTTGCAGGTGCTGAATCCAATCAGATCTGCCACATAATTAAAATTGGTGCAGGGGGCACAGTAGAACAGATGTGGTCTTAAAACCAGAGAATTGTTTGATTCAATGTTACTACAGATGAACGGGACATATTCAGTGAGATAAAGGGAGCAGTGTTATAATTTATCCAGTTCCACTGAGTAAATTGACTCAAGATGGCTACATTCAAACATTGTGGAGTTTTATTTTTGTCTTCAAAATTTTCTGTAAGTCATCTTCTTAGTTTACAAATAAAAAGAATCCTTTAGGACTGATGACCCTACAAACTGGACTTACATTTTCAAGTCATGTTGTGCTCTTTCTTGTTCAAACACTAATTAAAACTCTTCAACTGGAACTTAGTAAAGAAACTGGAAGAGCTAGAACCAGTCCCCAGCTCGCTGTACCACAATTGTGTCAGCAACTGCCAAGGTAACAGAAGCCTGAAATTTTATTTCAGCCAGTAAACTAAGCAATTATGAGTCAGAGTATCCTAGATACAAAGGGTATATGATGAGTAAGAAATTTCCATTTTTACACAATCATTTTTCTGGCCATATATGCTAACAAATTGCTTCTGAATCTGCCACATCTATTTCATCTGCCTCTAAGGAGGCTAGATATCGCATTCCTGGGACATGATTCCCAAAGAAGTCATTGAAAGTTTCCTGTATATAGTGCTGGATTGGTTCTTAATTTGTAAATGCTTTCGGGCAAGAGCCTTCTTAGATGTTAAAAGTGTCCACATTTTAACATCCTATAATGCATTACGCATCTGTCTTATAATTCATAAGTAGAGGTGATGTGCTGTACTATATATATATTAATTTTGTATTTTAAGTACTAAAAATTATTTGGGCAGTATTAATGGTGATTACTCAAACTAAGGCTGAGTCTCCCAGGGAGCTTAGAATGAAAACTGAATTTAATCCATAAAACAGCCAGGTTTTAAGCTTGCATAGTAAAAGGAATCAAGCCAGCAGCCATTCCACACATATGCATGTCAATATGAATTCAGCACAGAGCATGATCTGATGCCACACACATCAGATCATGATTTTGTGCAGAACTGATGCTCTAATACTAACCTTTACAGTTCTATCAGTTTCAGAATTGTTTTCAAAGGCAATGAATCAATCAAACAGCAAACAGTAGAGTGCAGATGCTTTTATAGCAGGCAGACAATTCCCTCGAGCCCTCCTACGCCCACCCCCCTGCACCTTAACAATGTATTTAGCTTCAACCGGAATAATTTGGGATCTATAAGCAGTAATAACCTTCGTCGCAGTGAAACGTCTTTGAACTTTTCTACGAAATCTTTACATCAGAAACGCCGCTCTGTGTCACGCAGCTCCTGCTAGCCCGGCTGTCACAGTGTAAAAATAAGATCTTTATTATTTTCGCTACAAGCCTGCGCGATGCAGTCTGGCGAGACAGAGGCTCCCGGCGCGACCGCGCTGTACCCCCCCGCAGCCCATCGCCCGCTGAAGGACCCCGTCCGGGCCGGCGCTGAGATGGTGCAGCCCGCCCCAGGGACGACATGTCCCTGCCGCCCCACCGCCTCCTCGGGCGATCTCGGCCGTCCTCCCGCGCAGCTGCAGACCTATGAGGAGCTGCGTGTAACCCGGGTGACGCCGCATCATTGCGGGGACCCTCCAGGGGCGGGAGCCGGCCTACATACACACACACGCACACAGACAGACACACACAGACACACAGACACGCACACGCACACACAGACACACACACACAGCCGCACACACAGCCGCACACACAGCCGCACACACACACACACACACACACACACACACAGCCACACACACACAGCCGCACACACACAGCCGCGCACACACACACGCGCGCGCACACACACACACACACACACACACACACACACACACACACACACACACACACACACACACACACACTCCCTGCCACCGCCCCCCGCCGGAGAGGTTAAGCCACCCCCGCCACCCCCCTCAACGGCTCTTCCAGTCGCGACCCGCGATTGGCCACACGTTTCAATCCCGACCTCGCTCTGTTTTGTTCCGATTGGCCGGATCTGCCGCCTGTCTTCGCAGGAAACCCCGCCTTTCTTTTTTATCCCGGCCTTGCCTCAGCCCTGCCTGCCCCCCGTTGTCCGCCCCCAGTGCATGCACTCCCTCCCACGGCCCTAACCTTTCCTGCGTCTCGGGTTTCTGCGGTATAGTCGGAGGCGGCGGCCCCCAGCCCAGGCACGGCCAGTGAGCACAGCCAGGCAGCCGCCCGTGCGCCCGGCGGTGCTGCTGGAGCGCAAGAGGAGCGGTGCCTCCCGGGCAGAGATTCCCCCTCTGCTCTGCTCTGCTCCCCACCCCCGTGCGCACGAGCCTGTCACTGAGGGAGGGCACGAGAGCCCGGGAGCGGCGGCGGCAGGCGAGCCGCAGCGGCAGGCGCGGCACTAGGGCAGGCGGGGACGGAGCGGGGCTCGGGGACAGCGTGAATCATCTCCCACTCACTCCCTCGCCCACCACTGACACCGCTCGCTCGCTCCTTCCCTCCCTCCCTCCCTCCTTCTCCCCCTCCCTCCCTCTCTTTCCCTCCCCGCCGCCTCAGTCTCACTCGTTCTCTCTCCCCTCCTCTCCTCTCCCACTCACTCTCTCCCCTCCTTCCTTCTCTCACTCACTCTATCCTCTCCTCCTCCTGTCTCACTCTTTTCACTTTCCCCTCCTTCCCTCTCCCCTCTCGTTCCCTTGTCTCCCTTCTCCTCATCTCCTCCTGACACTGCACTGCAGCTGCTCCTCCAGCCCAGTCCTGCCCGTTTCCCTCCCTCCTTTCCCTTCCCTCCCCCCGGGTGCCAGATAAACAAGGCGCGCAGCATCCTCGACAATCCCGAGCTAGGTCTACGTTTTCGAAAAGGACAAGAGAACGCGACTAGCCCCCTCCCCTCTTCCTCCTCCCCCTTCCTCCTCCTCCTCCTCCCCCCTTCCCTCCCTGCCCCCCCACCACAGAAGGGAAGAGACAATTCTCCTCCGAGCAGTAGCAAACATGATGGCGGCAGCTCCCATCCAGCAGAACGGGACCCACACCGGGGTTCCCATAGACCTGGACCCGCCGGACTCCCGGAAAAGACCGCTTGAAGCCCCCCCTGAAGCCGGTAGCACCAAGAGGACCAACACGGGCGGTGGGTATATTCTCTGTCACCTCCCCCCCGCCCAACACACCCACCTCTTAGCTTCTCTACCTGCCTGTCTCCCCCCCTTCCCTCTCCTTCCCCCCCCCCCCCCGAACATTCCCATTTCTCTAATGTTATCATTCATCAAAATGGCGTCGGTTTTCAGCATCTACCAGTCTTTTTATTTAATATCCACGCTGGGGCTGCACAGCCGTGACCCTACGGAGACTAGGAGGGAGCACAAGGGGCTTCTGCAGCCCGGTTACCTCCCTTGTCCTGCTAACGATGGGTGAAAATAAACGGCAGCTGGAAGGAGACTGCAAACGCACTACCCTCCTTTCACATCCTCTGGGTCGCAAGCTGAATCTCAGCCTTGCCGTGCGTTTTCCTCCTCCTTGGCCTCGCTTCTATTGTCAGCGCGTACGCGGCGTGTGTTCGCTGTGCTGGGGGCGAGGGCTGCCTGGCGGTGAGGGGTGGGGGGGTCGCCGCTCGGCTGCGGGGACGCGCTAGTTAACATCCTGCCTTTCCTGGAGGAGATGAGTTATAGCGGGACCAGCACCTCCGCTGTCCGTTTGCGCTGGAGTCGTCATAACAATGCACCGAGGCAGAGGTGAATTTATTTGCCCAATATTAAGAGCAGCGGTCTGACTGTGCGTGGTTCAGCCGGCGATGTTCATACGGTTGGGCACGGCTGTAGCACACAGGCACTTCTAGAGACGCTGGTAGTCTCTGTTGAGAGACGTAAGGTGAACTGAGATTGTTCCTTCTGCCGAGGGGAAAAAACCCCAGCAACTTTGTGAAAACAGGTTTCATGATAAGAATCTTTACATCCATGCCAATGGGACGTTGCCTTAATTCCAGGGGAGAGCCCAAGTCTGGGGAACCAACGTATCTTAATTGACTTGCACTTTTCCGAGCCGGTTACAGAAGGTCCTTAGACTTAAGCGTAGCTGGATTTAAAAGTGGGGTGAGGGCACAGACAATTGTGCGGTTGCCGAATCAGACGGGGAATCCTTTCCCTCCCTCCCCCCCGCCCAATTGTGTGTATTTTCTTCCTGTTCCGATTGTGTGCTTTAACGCTAGTGGTGGGTAGAGGACTGGCATTGTCTATCTCGTCACCTTTTAAGTGTATTTAAAACAAGTGACTTAGGCTTTTGATCAGTTGGGAAAAATTCTTCTTAATGTCCTTTAATTAATGAGCTTAAAAGAGATCATTGTCGCTTAAGAAGTGCTAAAGGAATACATCAGGATTACTTAGGCAAGTGATTTCATCCGCACCATGTTGAGTTGTTTTCTTGGCAGTGTCTGAAATGCTTGGAATAAACCCCCACATTTTGGGTGGGATATTTGGTAGCAGAGTAGTTGTTTTGCTTACTTAAGAATGCAGGCAATAGCTAATTGCTATTCTTATGTGTTTGCTAATGGCAAACAAATAGCCCAACAGAATTTACAATTAATTCCTTTTTAGTTTGGCATTTCTTTTGCAGTATTTTCAAGCAAGGTTGTAGTTGTCACTAGTCACGTTTTCATGCAAGGCTTTATTATTTTTTTTAAGGGGTCTGATAATTTCTTCGTGCTGTTGTTGCCATTGGAAAAAAACAAACAAACCACCTTTGAAATATTTTTGATCTTTTTCTTTTACAAAACTAAGGAATCTTATGTGGATTCTTTATTTTGCTGTGAATATATATACGCATTTAAAAATATTAAAGGTATAGTCTAAACATGTCATGTAGAATAACACAACTGGTTAAATGTAAATGCACGAGTTCAAAGATGTAACATTTTGTTTATTTGTGGGGCTGGGGAGGAAAAATCGAACTTTGTAAGCCATATTAACCATGCATATCTCAATTTTTCAGAGGATGGCCAGTATTTTCTAAAGGTCCTCATACCTAGTTATGCTGCTGGATCTATAATTGGGAAGGGAGGACAGACAATTGTTCAGTTGCAGAAAGAGACTGGGGCCACCATCAAGCTGTCTAAATCCAAAGATTTTTATCCAGGTAGGTGCAAAAATTAGCCAATTCTTTCTTTATGAATCCCAGGGGGTATATGTATGTGTCATTGTGTTTCATATAGTGACGACTACGCTACCAGTGCAGCTAGAAGCATTATTTCTCAGAAAGTATGTTACAGAGTACAACAGTGAATATAAATATTCTGTCTTGGTTTATGGAATGGGCTGGAGACTAACTGCTTTGAAAAATGTTTAAATATGTTTACAATGTTTCTGCAAAAGAATATTTTCGTTAACATTCACTGATTTGGTTTTTAGCTTAAAAAAAAAAAATCTAGCTTTAAGGAACCAACTTGACAGCTGGCTTAAAAATAATTGTTCGTTTGAAGTTTCCAGGCATTGTAATGACAATTAAGCTAGAATCAGTAAAAATGAGAGGCTGCTTCTTAAAGAATGGGCCATTTACTTTAAATCCATTATGTACCTTCTTTCTGCTTCACTGCTTTGTTCACTGGCTCTGGAGTGAAGTAAGGAGGACAAGTGCTGTTCTCTAAATATTCTTTTTATTATGTTTATCATGATGGTGGAAGAAAACTAGTATAGAAGTGAAATACATCAGATGCGTAATACAATGAGTACTTTATCAACTGTACCAGTGTGTGAGAAATATATTTTAATATTTGCATATAACAATAATAAATGCATTATTTATCATTTTTCTTTTATAAGATTTCTGAAGAGGGAATCTTATATAATGATATACAAGATTTAAGCTTCTGCAATCGAATAAATTTTTCCCTAAAGATGAACAAATTAGTGTTCTGTAATTGAACTTTGTTCTAGAGGACTTTTTAAAAACTGGTGCAAAATAATAACATAGCTAACACTTTTCGGTGTTTTGATTTCATTATTTTGAAGAATAACTGGTGATTTAGGTTCGAGTTGACTAGCTGTGACAGACTTTTTTCTCTTGGAAAAATAAGACCAGCTTTGCATTTGATCTAGTTTAACAAGATGACTGAATTCTACAGAACAGTGGAGGCAGTTGGGTATGGATATAAACAACACAAACATTGGAGCATTTAGCTTTCCCATCCTCTTAACTTCAGTGTCAGGCAGAAGTGGATACTTTTTTATTAATGGAGAGATTGTGGTCTATTTCCAGTGATGATTGTTGATGTAGAAATTTTAATGCACCTGTTGTATGTATCCTTAATGAATATAGTTTGTAATACTTAAATGTCAGATGTTAAAGTGATGTATGTAGATTTTTCCTGTTCGAAGATACAGCTAATGAACTGATGCTTGTTGCCTTTGAGGTTTGGAATTTTTTTTCTTTTTTACTTTAGAAGTTAGAAAAAATGAGCCTTTATTTTGAAAGGTATGTTAGGGTAGGAAGAAAAGATCAATGTAGAATTGTAAAAAGTCTTAGAAAAAATAAAAGCATTCAAAAGAGCCTGATTGCAGAATTAATAGCATAATCTGGATAAAGAGTCGCAATAGTAAATTAAATTCACTGTCAGTAGATGAAAATGAAATAGATTTTCTGCATTATACATGAGCTGGTATCAGATATGCAAGGATGTTACAGAATATTGGTGTTTGTGAAGAATATTCCAAATACCAAATTACAAGCCTTTTCATTTTACTACAGTTTATTTACACTGACTTGGAAAGGATGCTGCAAAGATTAGATCTTTTGTTCAGTGCGCTAGCAGAGTTCTGTTTTCTGATTAAATTAGAATTACATATTTTTTTGTGTAGTAAATTGTAAAGATACAGCAGTAGTAGCAGATGAACCTTCGAAAAATAAAAATTAGCAAGCTAGAATGACATGAGTAAAAATGTTTGTTTCAAACACATGCTCTCTTAAAACCACTAGTAATATAAATAACTAAGGCAGAGAGGCTCAAGCAGTTTCACTGTAACAGGTGCAAATGAAGTTCAAGTTTGACTTCATACAGTCTGCTTTGAATTTGCAGCCACGTTGCATCATACAGAAAATGAGTGTTTTAAGGAAGTTGGCTAGTGATACCTGCTAAAGTGTGGAACAGGGATGGGAAATGGATTACAGTGTGGCTAGCTCTTGTTAGTCTTTCTATTTATGTTTGTCCACCAGCCCCAGGAATTTTTGGAGCTCCTGGCATTCCCTGAGCTGATGGCTTTTGGGTTTCTTCCAGGCTCTCATGCTTTTATGGCATTAGGTAATACAGACCTTGTGAAATAGCTAATATAAAGACATGGTTTATTTTTCTTACAAAGTTTCTTAAGCAGTTACTCTGTTTTCCTATTAGGAAGTTACTTAGTCTGTACCTCTGATGCGTGTGACTGTAAGAGTATTTAAAGTACATTTCCCTATGGAATGTTCTGCTGCTGAAGCTTCTGTGAAACTTCTCTTTCTGAAAAGTTTTAGTTCAGTCTGAGTAAGTTCCTGTTTGGAAAGGCGGAAGTTGGTTGTAATACATAAGTTGTGAGTAGTTCTGTTATCTAATAGTGTTCTTTTTTTTTTTTTTTTTCTTCCTCCTCTGTGATATAGGACTTCAGTATACAGACTGATTTCTGTTGGAATTATTTTTGTGCATCAAAAGGTGACTTAATTACTGAAGAAGTATATGGCAGCTCTAATTACAAGAAATTGAAGGAAAAAAAACAGCTTTGCACTAAACATCTTAGTTTACAGAATAGGAAGCAGTATATGCAGTATACAAATACATTACCGACCAGTACAGTCTTAATTTTTGTGTACACAATTTATTCTTCTCTTTTCAGGTTACCAGCTTACTTCCTCTAATTGTCTGGACTTCTACAATTTGATTTTGTTATTGTGCTTAGGTTTTCCTTGATTCTTTTTTGTTCAGGCTTGTTCCCCTAGATTAATGGGAATGAAATTAAAATGGCAAAATATGTCCTACTTTTAAAGTAAATGCTGCTTATCCTTTCTGTAGAGAAGTACAGAGTGTGTATTGACTGTCAGGTTCCGATCCAAAATCTAAACACAGTCATAGCTATGCTACTTTAATAAAATGAACTTCATAAAGAAAGTGGCTATCCTGTGAAGCTATCTTAATGTGTGGTTTTATTTTGAATAATATGAAAAAAGTTTTTCTGGTGTATTAAGTTGTCATTGTCATCTCTGTTTCTTCATTCTGAATTATAGTGAGCACTGGACTGAATGCTACTCTGGACATGTTTATTTTTTCCTGTTGCAAATGCTGGCGTTCACTTTTGCTTTCTCTCTCTCTGTAATCTTTCCCAGTTTCTCACATGCACACGCACACGCAAAATTATGTTACATCGCATCATGTTGTTTATCTTGAAACAGGATCTTGCCTGATCTGAACTTGGTGCTTGAGTGAATTTGAGCTCGGTCAGTGTTTTTCAATTTATTGGAATATGAAGTCATATGTGTACTGAAATTAGATCATATTAAGAGCAGAGATTAATAAAACTGTAATTAAGTGGGAATAAGGTTTTACTGTTTTAAACAATAGATTAGCTGGATTGTTTTTATAGCAGATTTCTAATCAGTGGTGATCTAAATGTTTGGGGAATACAAAATGTAGGAGTTTCCTTCGCTGCCTCGTATAGGTAGTGTATAAAGCGTTGTGTGGCAATGCTGTTTTTTACCAAGTCGCTTGTGTTTCATACATTTTGTTTGAATATCAGATTTTTCTGAAACATTCATTTTTTATGGGATATAGTCTAGCTAATCTTCGTGCAAGTGCCCTTTTGAACAGCTTTTTATTCTGACCCTTAAAAACCTTTCAGATTCATTGAATGTGCAAGTAACACAACTTTAAAGGAATTTATAATTAATAAGTTAACTTCTTAGCTTCATTACTCCCGTTAAACTGTTAGGAAGGGGAACGGTACATATCAGCTCAGTTCACTGTTATTATTTCCTTTATATAATAAAGGACTTGTCATGTTACTTTATAACTCTTAAAAAAACAGCCAAAAGTCTAGTAGGGAAAAGAATCTGTATTAAAAATGAACACTTGAAATAATGAAGTAAAATACTGCTTTTTCAGCCGTAGAGGAGAAAAAAAGAGTTAGAATGGAGTTAGAAGTGTAACAGCATTAATTATTAGCTGCCTGTTGTTGTAGTTCCTTGAAGCTGGTTTTTCATACATCAGAAAATGCATCGTGTTTTTATTCTATTTTTTTTCCTAGTGTTAACATTAGTTAACTAAAGACTTCATAAGGGTATATTTAAGATTTTCAGATTCTGGTGGAAATATTTACTTACATGAGTAACTTTGGAGAAAATGAGATTATTAAACAGTGAGTGGAGATTTCAAAGGTGGAATCTAGATCTGTGTAGGTTTGTAATCACTGATCTTTCTACTCTTCCATTTTATTTTTTTTTTTAAGACCAACCACTAAAAACCCCCAAGTGTTGATTGCCAGCTGTTCAGACAGATAATTCTCAGTTGGACAGTTGTCTGTTGCCTGGTTACTGGAACAGAATAAAAAAAAGTTAGCTTGTTAGCCAGCAGATCCTTAGTATTTTACATTTAAAAGGAAGCTGAAACTGAATATGTAACTTGGTATGATCTTCAGATTTTTACACATCAAACTCACCCAATGTAATATCACTTAGCAGCTTCTCATTTGGTAGGTGTAGAGAGATTTTGAAAAGTTTAAGTAGAAATTTTGCACTGATTTCATCTACATGTGGGGACTTACGTTAATGAGTGAATAAAGTTTGGCATAGTAAATGGCTTTAGTTTGCAAGAAAATGCTGTGTCTTGTCTTGTGTGAGAAAGGTTTAAAACAACTTGTGATATATTTGGAATGGTTAGTCTAACTTTAAGAAATGATACAGATTGTATGTGCACATGGTTATCGACAGAACAAAGTGAGCATGTCTTATCACAGAGAAATGCCATATTTAATAATTTTTAACTTTTTCTTGTGATTGCTTTTGACTAATTTTCAATATAATTGAAAACCAGATGATTATCAATAGATTAGAAAGCTTATGTAGATGAAATTGCTTCTAGTAGCAGTACTGTTTTTTTTGATAAAGTTGAAATTTCTCTA